GTTTCAAGTTTTCCCACAAGTAATAAAAGTATGAAAAAAATAAACAAGTTTCACTCAAAAGTTTAGTCGGTTCTGCTGCCACTGAAAAACATCTGTAAACTGTTGTCTGTTTTAGGGTTTGCTGGTGTGTTTCAGGATCTTCCTCGGGGTGTTTTGTTAGTTTGATGTGTTTCCTCCTCTTGAGGTCGCCACTGCTTTTAAGAAGAGGTTGCCAGGTTTTCACAACAAAACCCGCCCAAACGCATTTCGAGGGGGTCCCCCGTTAAAAATCGCGTTTCGAGGATAAAATACCCATGTTTTGGCGGGGTTCCCCTGGTAAAATTCGCATTCCAGGGGCTAAATATCACGTTAATGGGGTCGTTTTTCAACCCGCGGACATGAAAAACAACCCGCGGCAACAGTGTTAAAGCAGCCCAATTTCGCGGGAAAACCGCGGACTTGGCAACACTGGAAGAGGATAGCTTTGCATGATATGTTTATGTATCCTGGGATTGTTTGTCTATTGCAGTGATGATCACATGAACACAAACATGCTCGCTGAGTTAAAAAGCATGCTTTCTCCAAAGTATTCAAACCCTAGTGAACGTTTGTGTGTTTGGTTACAGGCAAATGGATTTGTGCACACATTTGCATGGGTTTGCTTTTTCTGCCTGTTTGAGCACTGCTTTGTCTAAGTGAGCACACCGTGTATGTATTTGAAAGAGATTTAGGAGTCAAAAAACAGACAGGAATGTTTTTTTTATAAATACATGTTCGATTTCTTGACATAATGCGAGTGTGCGCTTGACATTCTCTCTCGGCTGCCGTGACGAGGCCTGTGTCTGCTCTGTTTCACAGTGACAGTGGCGGGTGGCCGAGAGACTGCCTGTTAGTTCTTAAGCTCACTGGGATAGTTATTGCATTACTGTCTCTATCAGTCTGACTGGTCGTCCACATCTCATTTGACCCTCAGCCTTGGCCAAATCTGTCTTTCTGCATGGTCACTCTCAAAACTCCCCGTCCCTTCAGATGTAATCAGATGCAGGAACCCTGTCAGGCTGGATTTGGGTAGAGAGGATTATAGCAACTGAGGGACTGAACAGGATCAGCTAGCAAACGATATTTAAACTCAGTTGGGATTGAAAAATTCAAAGAGCAGAACAAAATGACTGATTTGAGAGGTGGCTGTCATCCAGTGCCAGACAAACTTAAAATCCCCCTCCTGCAGTCTGATGGTACTGCAATTGAGATAAGGAAGTGAGAAATAAACATCAGCCTCTAAAAGAGGAGCCACAATTGCCAGTAACACACAAACACTGTATAAAGTTGTTAGAAATGTAAATAGATGATAAGGGCATGTCAGTCCTATCAGTGCAAGGCCAGACTCTCACCCCCGTAATGCTCGAAGCCGAGGGAGTCAACCACAGACCTCGGGAAAGATCTTTGTAATCTTTTGGAGCAGCTCTCCGTTACGGGCCGTCTCCAGTGAAATTGCACACTTGCAATGGAGGCTAATTTAGAGGGCAAAGTTAGAAGATTTTGCAACAGCCTGATCATGAATGAACAAAGAGTCTCTATGGCAGAACACCTGGTAGTACTCAAAATATGAGCTGCATGAGGCGTCAGAAGAAACGTCTGACGTAACATCTGAAACCCACAATCAATTTAGAGTCTGTCCAGGGTAGAGTTTTAAAGACGGTCAGGTAAACAAACGCACCAACTGATATGCACAGTGGAAAGGGAAGAGCAATCAGGGAGGGAGTGAGCACTGATGTTATGTCGTATGGTAACAGCGGGTATATTTGATTGTTTGGATAATGATGCCAGTGAAAGACAGTGTGCAGGAAACACCTGTGATAAAAGACTGTTGCAAACAAAAGAGTTTGAACAAACCCTGCAGCCCCGTCTGCACAACGACAGCCATAACAAAGCAGTCACTTATGCTGCGAACTCATTGACTATGTTTTTAACATCATTTGCTCAGTAATTATTAATGGAACATTGTGAATTATATCCTTGTTAGAACATTTGGGCCAGATAAAATGAAGTCATCCGAAGTCCTTTGAAAAGGAAGCAGAGATAAAGACAAGGAACTGCGAGGCCTGGAAAAGCACAGGAGGTGAAAGCAAAGACAGGAAGAGTAGGACTGGAGAGAGAGTTTTGGAAAGTCTCTATAGAACAAGAAATTTGCTAATGACTATGTTTTGATTGATTCGAGAGAAATCATATTCCTGTGATTTCCTGGGATGTCCAGAAATTTTACATCTATTTTCTCCACTTGTCCCTCAAGACAAGATAGACTTTTATTTGTTTTTTGCTGTTTTTAGACATTTATAGCCTTACATTTCTTATTGTATGCTTTGAGTATTATGCTTTGAAGAGCAAATTCCATGCCTTGATTCTGCCTATGCTATATTTGTCGAACATAACAAATACCTTGAAGTTTCCATTAAATCATTCACGAAGTGTAGCCTACATTATGTCTAGCATTGTAACATGCATGCATTTTTTTTTCCATTCAGCAACACAGAAATTTCAAATACAGTACCAGACAAAAGGCACTTCAAAATAGTAATAAAGCCATCCAAATTATGAAATAATGCAAATGGAATTATGGGAAATATGCAGTAACCAAATGGTGTTTATAACATTGAGTCATTCATTAAAAAACTCAACTGTTTTGTATGAAATTCATACATAAGCACAACTTAAGTCTCAAAAGGCCTTTGAGATAATGAAAAACATAAATTCATTTGGGTGTGTCCAAACTTTTGACTGGTACTATAATTTAGTCTGATTGATTTTATCTTGCCTTAAGCAAAAATTGAATGAGAATAATTTCTCTTGATGCTTTCAGAAACAGAACAAGGTTTAGAAAGCTCAGCGAAAATCAGGACATAGTGTGGGGGATATAGCCTAGCCAGCTATTATAATATTTTCTTTACTAAAATCTGGGCATATGGGCAGTATGGAGTTGTGGTTTGAACTGAAGGGAGAGAAACAAAAGACTCCAATGGCAGTGATGTTATGGGTTGGCGGTAGGATGGAATACTGCCAGTAGCTAAAAGTGATCTGTGGGGGTTTGAGTGAGAAACAAAAGAGTTGAAAGTTTGGTGACAAAAGAAACAGAGTGCTGGAGAGATACGTGTGAAGCGGTCTCTCGTGTGTGTGTGTGTGTGTGTGTGTGTGTGTGTGTGACCGGCTGGCCAGATTGGTCGAGAGCGTTTGAGTGGAATGACAGGCATCCTAGATATTTTCCAGAGGCCTGCATTACAAGAGTCAAATGCTCTCTGAGAGAATGAGTAAGGAGAGGAGAGATTCTTGTTTGCACTGACCTCTTTCTGTTGTATGGATATGTATAGCTACGTCCTACTTACATGTGGACGTGAGCATCTTTGTTTAGATTTCAGAGTTCTGACAAACTAAATTTCCTCTGTGTGTGTGTGACCGGCCTGCTGGCCAGATTGGTCGAGAGCGTTTGAGTGGAATGACAGGCATCCTAGATATTTTCCAGAGGCCTGCATTACAAGAGTCAAATGCTCTCTGAGAGAATGAGTAAGGAGAGGAGAGATTCTTGTTTGCACTGACCTCTTTCTGTTGTATGGATATGTATAGCTACGTCCTACTTACATGTGGACGTGAGCATCTTTGTTTAGATTTCAGAGTTCTGACAAACTAAATTTCCTCTCTTCCTGTTGTGAATTGTTGGTCGTAGCATATATAATATAGATATATAATTGTCTATGAAATAATTAACAGCTTTCCCTTTGATTTGGCCACACGAGTTGTGCCACAGATGCAGATGAATGGTGTTATTTCTGTGCTGCTGGGTGAAAAGTGCCACATGTGATGAATGATCAGGATTAAAAATGAGAAATGGCTCCAAGTATACACACTGAGGATAAGGAGGAGGCCTAGATGATGGATTCAGGATAATGTTAGACAGGATATAGAGAGACAAAAGGGGACCAAACACTCTCTTCGTTGCATAGACACGTACATTCTCACAGTCACATATACTGTCGACAAGAGGGTGGAGCAGGTTGAAGCTGTGGTTCATTGTTTTGAGGCCGACAGACATCCTGTTTGAAGCAGGAATGAAGCCCCTCGCCACAAGGCAGCTGCAAACAAACGAACACACACTCACACGCAGTGGATTCAGGATTTAGGATTTCCCTTAGCTTTATATGATTACCTTTGCCATCATCTAACGCTCAAAGTTAATCTTTCAAAACTAATATTTCAGTTACACTGTTAAATTGTATTCTTTATCTTGAAATTAAATCAATTTTTTCATAATGTACATTATATGTTGGGATGCCTAAATTTACATTTAAAATGCAATGGAACTGAGGGCATAGGTCACATAACAAAGCCAACATATCGGATGTAGTACTTTAGAATTTCATTCATGATGCTATATACTTTTTTATTGGTTGTGAACTTCATTCTTCATTTATTGCAGAAAGTATTCAGACAAAATGTGATTCCGGACGCACCTATAGTATAATTTTAATAGCAGCCATGAAAATGAAAATAATTACGGACTTTAATGGTATAGAATAGAATTTAAATAATGGTGCATAATATGCATCCCTCCCTAGTGCCGAGAGTAGTGAAATTGTACAATCCCCTTTGAGATAAGTCACATTACAAAATTAAAATGGATTTAATATTGACTTTGGTAACTGCTGGTCATGGCGTTGGTCAGGGGTATTTGGCAACCTGTATGTGGTGAACCACTGTGCTGGCTATTCTGTCAGAGCTGTAGTGTTGGGCTGTTGGGGAAATAAAGCTGTACAGTGTTGCTGCCAAGGCACTGTATTTAATTTCAGTTAATGTGTGGGGGCTGAAAACTGCTTCCCCATTTATAAATGGCCATGCCACCATTATCATGTTGTTGTGTTTGTACAGCCTTGACCTGTTTAGACGCATTCTATCATATCACATGTCCAGTAGCAGAACAAGTGTCCAGTAATATACTCAAGTCATTTGTTCTCTCTCTTTCGTTCGCTCTTTAGGCCATAGAAAGGGAGCAGATAGACAGCATTCAGCCCAAACTACAACATGTCAACGCTGTGGGTCAAGGTCTTATCCAGAGTGCAGCCAAACACACTGACACTCAGGCCCTGGAACATGACTTGGAGACCACCAACCTGTGCTGGAACTCCCTCAACAAGAGGGTAAGCTTGCATCAATTTTTAGCCTTTCTTTTTAGTTGACTGATAGAAATGGATTAATTAAATATTATTTTTATTATTATTTATTTTTATTTATTTTTTTAATTCACAGGTTGCTGAAAGAATCGCACAGCTGCAGGAGGCCCTGTTGCATTGTGGGAAGTTCCAAGATGCTCTGGAGCCACTCTTGAGCTGGCTGAGTGACACAGAGGAGCTTATAGCCAATCAGAAACCTCCGTCTGCTGAGTACCGTGTGGTCAAGGCACAAATTCAGGAGCAGAAGGTTAGATTTTAATCAAATTTTAATGTAATCAGTTTTTAAAATACTCCAGTAAAACCAAAAATTATTATTATATTAAAGTTTTTGGAAATGATCTATTTTGTGACAAAAAATCAATAATGGTTTAAAAGGAACTTTAGTTGAAAAACTTTGTGATCCCTTGATTTCGTATCAGACTTATTGGAATAATTTATCATGCTAGATTAAAAAAATTAAGAAATGTAATTTAATTAATTGAGGTTCCATATTATTCCTAGCTGCTGCAACGGTTGCTGGATGACCGCCGTGGGACGGTAGAGATGATCAGGGCAGAAGGAGAGCGTATCGCTGCTACGGCTGAGACACAAGATAGATACAAAATCCAGAAACATCTTAAGAGCCTAGGAGAGAGATGGACAAATCTGCTGGAAAAGGCCAGCGCCAGGTAAACTCCATAATCAGAGCAATATGGACACCCAGACACAGCCATAAAATCTCTTAATCGAATCTCTTACTCAGAACTCAATCACTTGGTTGCTTTACAAGGCCATAAAAACAGAGTAGTCATAAGAATATAACACAGATTTCCTCCTCACCTCATGTCCTCAGGCAGCAGCAGCTAGAGGAGCTGCAGGTGTTGGCGCTGCAGTTCCACGAGGCAGTGGAGCCGCTCGGTGAGTGGTTGAGTGCAACAGAGAGACGCCTGAGCTCCTCTGAGCCAATGGGAACCCAGACCTCCAAAATCACACAGCAGATTGTAAGGCACAAGGTAGAGTATACACAGAACCTGGGAGAGATGTATCCTAGGAGTCTGTTGCCAGAATTGTTGCTGCCGAACCAAGATCTGTCATTTTAGCAAGCGATTTTCAAAGTGTCAAGCATCATTAGACTGACTAGAGATGCAGAGGAGAGAACAGATTGTCAGTCTCCTGTGGTTTTAAATGGACTAGTAGGAGTGCAGTTATCTAAGAAGGCACACAATTCGGGTCGTGATCCTGCCCACATCCTTTCCTTGTGCAGTTTAATTTCATCATGATTTTGTGTTTCCATCTCATCTTGTGTTGATTCACATATTATTTTTTGCTCACATCAGTTAATTATGATTTGTCATTATTCTGCATTGTCATGTTTGTTTATGTTTGCCTTGTCTTTTTTTTTTTTCTCCTTCTACTCATTCAATCATGTCTCCTCTTTACTCTGGGCTATAATCCCAGGCTCTCCAAGAGGAGGTATCCTCTCGGGAGAATGATGTAAACCATCTTGAGACTCTCAGTCAATCACTGCACCCACTCAGCTGTGCGGCTGATCGTGATTGGCTGGGTGAACGTGTGGCGGCAGTGCGCAACGGGCACACGGAGCTGCACGATTGGTGCAGTCGGAGAGAGGTCATGCTGGAGCAGGCCCTGGCCAATGCACAGCTATTTGGAGAGGAAGAGGTGGAAGTTCTTAACTGGCTAGCTGAGGTGGCCCAGAGACTGGCCGAGGTCTCAGTGCAGAGTTATCAGCCGGAGCTACTAGAGCAGCAACACAAACACACACTGGTATGATTCTGAAGGTCATAGCTGCCCAGGATCAACAATACCGTATAAGTCAGTTTAAAGAATATGAATATTTCCTAAAAAAAAAATGTCACTCAGTAAGGTCAGCTATACTAGATCTGTAATTCAATTAAAATGAATTACGTGATATTCTGATTAAATAATAAAATGAATTGCATATACCAATGCAGTGTATTTTATTTGATTAATTCTGTTTTATTTTATATAATATCCCTGTGAATTATGTTCAGAGTTAATGTTTCTACTGCTGGTTCCCTACAGGCTCTTAATGAAGAGATTATCAGCAGGAAGAAGACAGTGGACCAGGCCATTAAGAATGGACAGGCTCTGCTTAAACAAACCACTGGTACTTTTCCATCCAGCCTCTGTGTTCATTGGTGTATCAACAAATTCCTGCTTTGACTGTGATCATGTTGGATCTCTGTGACAGGTGAGGAGGTCCTGTTGATACAGGAGAAGCTAGATGGCATCAAAAGCCGCTACGCAGAGATGACAGCGGGCAGCAGCAAAGCCCTCCGTACTCTGGAACAGGCCCTTCAGTTGGCCACGCGATTTGCAAGCTCACACGATGACATCAGCCAATGGTTGGATAGCGTGGAGGCGGAGCTTAACAACATTGAGCCAGACACAACACCAGCCTATCAGGACAGACAGAGGGTGAGGATGTCTATCTTTTTTTAAGTACTCATGAATCACTTTTTACTTTTTGTTTTTGCTAAACCAAAAAAATTTTTTTTACAATATTTTTATGCCTTCTGTGAATTAATTGTTTTATATTGTGTGTATGTTTGGCTCAGGAGCTGAAGTGCGTGTCTGCTGAGAAGAGGTTAGTTCTGGACACAGTGAATGAGGTGGGCAGTGCTTTACTGGATCTGGTACCCTGGCGTGCACGAGAAGGCCTGGACCGCCTGGTCGCCGATGCCAATCAGCGTTACCGCCAAGCCCAAGAGACCATCACACAGAGAGTGCAGTTAGTGCAGGCTGCCATCCAACGGTCACAGCAGGTACTGCAGCAAATACTGTACATATATATATGTATGATCAACACAGCCAAAACCTAAACTTACTTAAAATGTAACTTTATTCTTTCCATACCTTGCAGGCATTAGTATTTTCTTTTAGAAAATTCAATTTTAATTTTATATCATTCTTTTACAATATGTCTTTTTTTTTCTTTTTAGAATGATGTAATACTTTAAAGTACATATAAATTGTTATAATAAATAAATAAAAAATAATGGTAACACTTTAGTATAGGAACCAATTCTCACTATTAACTAGTTGCTTAGTAGCACACCTATCAATAACATATTGACTGTTAATTAATACTTATAAAGCACATATATGTAACACTTTAGTATAGGGACCAGTTCTAGTTGTCTATTAGCATGAATATTTAACAACTACCTTACTAACTATTAATAAGCAGCAAATTAGGAGTTTATTGAGGCAAAAGTCATAGTTAATGATTTGTTAATGGTGAGAATTGTACATTAAAATAAAGTGAGTCCAAAATAATAAGTACATTTGCAGCTTTAACATACATTTTAAAATATTATCAATATTATAAATATTTAACATAAGTTGTTGCTTAAGCAAAGTTTGATTTAGGATCCTCTGTCCATGTTGCCTTCTTGAATTTGTAAATATTTTCATCATACTTCTTTTTTTTTTTTTGACAGTGTATTTGTGTGTTATTGTTTCAGTATGAGGAGGCAGTCGATGCAGAGCTGACCTGGGTCGGAGAGACCGAGAGGAAGTTGGCATCTCTGGGGCCTCTGAGTCTGGAGCCTGATGTGACTATGGCTCAGCTCCAGGTGCAGAGAGCCTTTAACATCGACATCATCCGTCACAAAGACACCGTGGACCAACTCCTTAAGACACGAGAGGACATCCTGGAGAGCTGCAGCGAACAACAGAGAGAGGCTTTGAAGGTTAGAGACAAAATAAAGAAGAGAGAGAGAGGGGTCAGAATAAGCCATGTAATTATTCCTCTGCGAAAGGTTAGATCAGGAAAATTGAATTGATGTGACTCATGCATTTTCTGGTGGAGATTTGATTTGTCGAGTCATGTTTGGGACAAACAACAGTGCCAGCTTGTTGTTTCAGTCTCTAAAGATTCATTTGGTTGACCCGATAAAACCTCTTTCTGCTTCCTCCTGTAGGTGAAGACGGACTCTTTAAGTGCTCGTTATGAAGCAGTAACTCAGAGTCATGCTGAGCGCTTCTCAGCTCTAGAGCAGGCTCAGGTGCTAGTAGCGCGGTTCTGGGAGACGTATGAGGAACTTGAACCCTGGCTGGGCGAGACAGAGACTCTGATTACCCAGTTACCCCCTCCTGCCATCGACACAGAAGCACTCAGACAACAGCAAGACCAGATGAGGGTGAGTGGGCAGTATGCAGACAAAGGACTTGAGTCCATTTTGCTCCTTTGTGGCTATATGATGCATTCAAGTCATGTCGGAAAGATCGTATTTATGTGTTGAACGCATATGAATGTCTCCACAGTCTAAATTACAAGTGAGGATTTTCTTTGGATTTTCTAAAATCCAGAGTTTGGGGTGTGTCATTGAGAAAACATGTTAGACACAGTGAATGCAGCATCTGTATTAATAGTACATTTGTTAAAAGTAATGTATTTTTTCATTTACAATTAAAGTATCTATCTTGCATGCACAAAATCTAATGTATTGTGCAATTACAATATATAACAATTCAATTTACAGCATCTTCATGAACTGAATATAAAAAAGCAAAAATACAACCAGGAGGTTCCCAAACTCATAAATATGTACTTCCCAGGAGAACTTTATTATTAGACATGGACTAAGAACCACAAAAATCACAAATCCACAAAACATTTTTTATTTCATGTAATATATATATTGACATTACATAACATGTTTTATATGTCTTCCTTCCTAGCTTCTGAGAGAGTCCATCGCTGAGCATAAGCCTCACATAGATAAACTGCTAAAGATCGGCCCGCAGCTGGCAGAACTGAGCACCCAGGAAGGGGCAACAGTAAGACAACGTTATAATGAAGCAGATAGACGTTACCTCAGCATCAAAGAGGAGGTCAAAGGTCGAGCCACAGCACTGGATGAAGCAGTGTCACAGTCTGTCCAGGTATTTTCTGCAAAATGTTAGCATGCTTATTTTGGACTGCTGCCCAGCTTGTGATTTATTTAAAGGTTGTTACAGCCCACAGTTCAGCATTATACAGCACAATATCAACTCATTTTGTATATTCAAGCTATTTTAATGACACGCATCACCTTTATTTTACCCATTGTTTCGGACTAAGGCATTTTTTAAAATAACATCACTGACATCTGACATCAGGTGCATTTTGGCTTAATGTTTGTGTTATTAATTCTTCCTGCTGGCCTGTTGCATGCTGTTGAATTAACACATTGTACTGTTTCTCCACCTCCACCCCTTCAAACTCTACTTTACTGTGACTCCACCTGTCCCACCCCTGTACCTCATATCCTGTCACCCTCTCCTCTCCATATCCTGTATTCCCTAAACTTCCCCCATTCCTGCTTGTTGCAACTCTCCCCTTGCCCAATCCCTGCACCTCTCCCTCCCATGTCCGTTTGGTCCATCCGTCTACCCATCACTCTTGTTTGTGGATGTGCTGTGTGTGTCCATCCCTCCATCATCACTGCTCTCTGCAACTCCCTCAGCTGGTAGAGGTAAGAGCATCATCACCCACTGATTTAACCACTGATATAACATCTGTATTGGATTGAGAATCAAGAATTTTCAGGAATACTTCAATCCACAATGTTTTATATACTTATATTTTGAAACTAGTTTTAACTTACTTCAGTTGACCTATAGATAGTTGTTAGTAAAAGAAGATGGGCAAAATATGAAATATATATTTCAATTAAATTCTTAATCATTTACATTAAGGTATTTAGCAAAGGTTCTTATCTAGATCAACTAGCAAAAAGTGATTTGCCTTCATGTATGAGACAGATAACTGAAAGTTAACTTTTTTGCTCTACCGTTCCAAAGTTTGGGGTTGATAAGATTTTTACTCCAGTTTTTGGTGTCACATGACTCTTCAGAAATCACCCTAATATGTTGATTTGGTGCTCAATAAACATTTCTTATTATTATCAGTCTTGAAAATAGTTATGCGGCTTAATATTTTTGTAGAAAACATTTTCAGGTTCTTTGATGAATAGAAAGTTTTAGAAATCTTTTGTAGAATTATTATTGTAGTCTTTACTGTCACTAATCAGTTTAATGCATCATTGCTGAATAAAAATATTTCCTTCAAAGAAAAGGAAGAAAAGAAGTCTTACTGACCCCAAACTTCTGAATAATAGTGTACAAGTGCTGTGTAATACCAATGCACCTAATACGAGCCATTTAAACCTAAAAACTTTTAGTACAAAATTGTAAAAAATTAGTTAATTTCTTTCCACTTTAAAAAAGTAGCATACAGGTTTCCGATGTGTCCATGCATGATGAAGGTGTCAGTATTCTGTGGTGTATTCCGTAGTATTCCTTATTTAGCGCCAACTTCCTCTACCCCTTAGCATGTGTCTGAGATAAATCTTCCCTCCTCCTTAGGCCTGGTCCTTTTGCAGTTACTTTTGTGTCCTGTATTTGTTCTGATTGTTGTCTTCTTTCTCTCCATTCAGTTCCATGATAAGATGGACCCCCTGTTGGAGACTTTGGAGGGTGCGGTCCAACGCTTGTGGCAGCCTCCTCCAGTGGCGGCTGAGGTGGAGAAGATCCGGGAGCAACTTGCGGAGCACAGGGCAACGGGACTAGAACTGGACAAACTCCTTCCATCTTTCAGTGCCCTGTGTGCCCGAGGAGAAGAGCTCATCGGTCGTGCCCCACATGACGATCCTGCCGCCCAGGGTAAAGACCTTTAATCTGAAATGAAACTTTATGGTTGTATGAAACACTTGATCCTATGTGTTTTGCTAAATCTGTAATCTGTTCCCATCCTCAGCGGTGCATTCACGACTCTTGCGGCTGCGCTCTCTGTGGGATGAGATCAGGCAGAGGGCAGAGGAGAGAGAAGGAAAACTTCAGGATGTTCTAGATCTCGCCGGAAAATTCTGGGCTGACATGGCCGCTCTGCTGAGCACACTCCGTGACTCTCAGGACATTGTGAAAGATCTGGAGGACCCAGGGGTGGATCCTTCACTTATAAAACAACAAATAGAGGCAGCAGAGGTCAGTCCAAAAGTAGAGTCACTAGCAAGACATGATATCTTTTTTGGTTTATTCAAATTTTCAGTGGAGCTGTGCAAAAACTACATATTTTCAAAATTGACTAGTTTGTTGGATGTAGGATGTCTTAAAGAAGCTCTGTATAGATCAGCAGTTTGTAACCACTAGAGGACATCAGCAAAATTCAAAGGGAACTGTTAAAAAAATCTGTGTAAACTGAAAGTTATTTCTTGTGTAATATTATAATATAATAAAGAATAATATAATAACATATTTCCCCGTTAATAACTGTTGTTTATAATTAAAGAATAAATTCTTGGAGCAAAATTTAACTTCTGAAATCAAAAAATGTAAGATTAAAATTGAACTTCTGAAATCACAAAATGCAAGCTCAATGTTCAGTTTCTGTTAAAAAAAAAAAAGTTAGAAAGCAATCAGCTTTGTCATTATTACAGCAGAAATACTGTGAATAGCCTATGTATGAATAGCCCTGTACATTTTTAATAAAACTCTCCTTAATGGGGTTTTAGAGTAGATCAAACTACATAATCTTGTGTCAAGATGTTGATCTCAAGAGAATGTAGTCATGATGTTTTTGTCTCACACTCAGGCCATTAAGGCAGAGACAGATGGGCTGAGGGAAGAACTGGAGATCGTACGAACACTTGGAGCTGACCTCATCTTTGCCTGCGGAGAGACTGAGAAACCAGAGGTCAAGAAGACCATCGATGAGGTAAGAGGGTAGAACAGTGATGAGCAATGTAGGGAACGCCCTTTTCACTCACATTTAAACAAAATATCTCCATTTTGTTTCGCTTAGATGAATGCAGCCTGGGAAGGCTTGAACCGCACGTGGAGAGAGAGAATGGAGAGACTGGAAGAGGCCATGACTGCCTCTGTGCAGTACCAGGATGCTCTTCAGGTGTCTATCACTCTATTGGTACCACAGAATTTGCCCTGATTGGTCAAGCCAACTGTGTGTTCACAATTATCACTTTATATCTCCTCAGGGCATGTTTGACTACTTGGACAACGCTGTGATCAAATTGTGTGACATGCCAGCTGTAGGGACAGACCTCAGCACTGTTAAACAGCAGATCGAGGAGCTCAAGGTTTGAATCAGACCTTATCTACTCTTATCTCAAAAAAACACATTGAGAAAAAGATTGACCCTTTTTCTTTTTACATGGCACAGCAATATAAAGTGGAAGTTTACCAGCAGCAGATTGACATGGAGAAGCTTTGCCACCAAGGAGAGCTGCTGCTCAGAAAAGTGAGCGACCAAACAGACCGAGACATGATTCAGGAGCCTCTCACTGAGCAACGCTACCTATGGGACAACCTGGTGGACAAAATCACAATCAGACAGGTGAGGAAATACAGACCAGTTTATCTCAGTCTCCTTTTGCATTTACGAAACAATTACTTATTAAACAGATCATTTAGATAACTAAAATGCAAATAAACACACACTGATAAGAGTTCAATCCTCCAAGTGCTCCTTAAAACAGCCTACCATTAGGCTAATGAACTATGAATTAATTAATTGTTATTGCTATTAGCATTATTTTTATATTACTATCATTATTGAATATTGGGTATTGTCAAACTAGAATTGTAAAATGGAGTATGAAAGCTAATATCAAATAAAATTAAGTTCAGTTCATCTGCATTTTAGAGGGCAGTAGGGCTGTCAAAAAAAATCGAATTTCGAATATTCATCGAATTTAAAATAAAAATCCACATTAGAATGCAAAAACGTTGCATTCGACTTTTTTAGGTGTGCGTTAAGGAGGCAGCCTTATCAGCGGCGCACGAGATGCGATGATGATGTAAGTGTCATTGCATTATAATGTTTTTGTTAGCCTGTCCAGTTGAAGCCACTAGATGCGGCGCTGCTGCATTGTTCATTAAAAATATTGCTGAAAAAGAGAACATCAATGCGGAGAAGATCTTGTTTACATCAAAACCGAAACCAAGCCATTCACACAGAAGCCGCATGTTTAGAAAGCCATGTAAAATTAATGCAAGTTTAACTTTGAAAAAAACATATATCGAGACTTTATGGCGGGTTTTTCCCCATCCTACTGCATCTCATGTTTTTACATGAAAAATGTACTCTGTGTGATTGGCTTTCCGCCCTTTGTATTAAACTATGCATACATACATGATGCTGTTTTGTTTATAGTTGTTTAAGCAACTTATTTATAATTGGTTTATAAACATTATTTTAAACATTTTGCACTTTTTTTCGCAGATAGTCATGTTATCTTATGCTTTGAATGATGCGCCCTCTTGCGGCCTCAGGAGAGAAGCCAAGAGCTTTTCTTCACCCTAACTGAAATTATGCATTTTAAATTCGAGTATAATTCGAATTTTGATATTTAAGTACAAAATTCGAATTTAGTTTTTCAGCCATTTTGACCCCTAGAGGGCAGACAGGAAATGCTCTTACTCTTGATTGTATTTTGACTCTTTCCTCTCTCTCAGCACAAACTGGAGGGTGCGCTGTTGGCTCTAGGTCAGTTCCAGCATGCTCTCTCTGAGCTGCAGTCTTGGCTCAGTCACACTCACGCCACACTGGACACCCAGCGACCCATCAGCTCTGACCCCAAGGCCATCGAAATTGAGCTGGCTAAGCATCATGTACGGAATATTTGGGACATTTCTATATACTCTACTTTTTTATTTCCTTTTTAAAGCAGTTTCCTGTAATCAAGCTGTCTTTGTAGGTTTTAAGAAACGACGTGCTGTCCCATCGGACTACAGTGGAGACGGTGAACAGCGCAGGCTCTGAGCTGCTGGAGTCCAGTCCTGGAGACGAAATCAACCACCTGAGAGACCAGCTGGATGAGCTCAACCGCAGCTGGAAGAACCTTCTGCTGAAGACTGATGAGAGGCAGAAGCTTTTGGAAGCTGCCCTGCAACAGGTGCTCTCTAGATATTACTACTGCATCATTATACAGAGAGATCTGATTGAAAGCACCAATAAAAACAAGAGCACCTGCATATGTTTGTAGCCTGAAATGCATAATTTGCACCGTTTGAAGGGTTGCTGTGCAGCGAGAATGGTTCTCTTGAATATTGTAGTACAGGTGTCGGATCAATTAGCTCATTGTCTTTCCCCTGCATGGTTTCTGTGTCAGGCGGAGGGTTTCCATGGAGAGTTGGAGGAGTTTCTGCAGTGGCTCAGACGCACAGAGAGTCAGCTGTCCGCTGCCAAACCCACAGGTGGCCTGCCTGAGACCGCCAGAGAGCAGCTGCAGCAACACATGGTACACAAAATGAGTTCACCTCTAGTCCACTCATTAGATATTCAACCACTCTCAAAGGAGCATTTATTTTGTTTTATTTATTTAGAATTCTTTGGAAATGACAAGAAATGACATTAAATGAAGAACATAGTCAGGAATATGTTGCCTTTGCATTCTATTAGGAAAAGCTTAATTGCGTTATATTATTATTTGTGACCCTGGACCACAAATGGAAGAACCTTCTGCTGAAGACTGATGAGAGGCAGAAGCTTTTGGAAGCTGCCCTGCAACAGGTGCTCTCTAGATATTACTACTGCATCATTATACAGAGAGATCTGATTGAAAGCACCAATAAAAACAAGAGCACCTGCATATGTTTGTAGCCTGAAATGCACCATTTGCAATGGATTACATTCAAGTCCATTCAATAAAATGGATGCAGTTTGGAGGGTTGCTGTGCAGCGAGAATGGTTCTCTTGAATATTGTAGTACAGGTGTCGGATCAATTAGCTCATTGTCTTTCCCCTGCATGGTTTCTGTGTCAGGCGGAGGGTTTCCATGGAGAGTTGGAGGAGTTTCTGCAGTGGCTCAGACGCACAGAGAGTCAGCTGTCCGCTGCCAAACCCACAGGTGGCCTGCCTGAGACCGCCAGAGAGCAGCTGCAGCAACACATGGTACACAAAATGAGTTCACCTCTAGTCCACTCATTAGATATTCAACCACTCTCAAAGGAGCATTTATTTTGTTTTATTTATTTAGAATTCTTTGGAAATGACAAGAAATGACATTAAATGAAGAACATAGTCAGGAATATGTTGCCTTTGCATTCTATTAGGAAAAGCTTAATTGCGTTATATTATTATTTGTGACCCTGGACCACAAAACCAGTCATAAGTAGCACGGGTAGCAATAGCCAACAATACATTTTATGGGTCAAAATGATAGATTTGCCAAAAATCATTAGGATATTAAGTAAAGATCATGTTCCATGAAGATATTTTGTAAATTTCCTACCGTAAATATATAAAAACTTAATTTTTGATTAGTAATATGCATTGCTAAGAACTTCATTTGGACTACTTTAAAGGCGATTTTCTAAATATTTAGATTTTTTTGCACCCTCCGATTCCAGATTTTCAAATAGTTGTATCTCAGCCAAATATTGTCCTATCCTAACAAAAACCATACATCAATGAAGAGCTTATTTATTTCAGATGATGTGTAAATTTCAAAAAGTTGACCCTTGTGACTGGTTTTGTGGTCCAGGGTCACATTTGTTAACAGTGTTATTTTAGTGATTTTTTTATATTTTGAATTAGATTTTTTTTTATTTTAGTTTTAGAAAAGTCGTGCTTTCGTAATTTTTATTAGTTTTGTTTTTTAATATGTCTATTTAGCTTTAATTTATTTGACAGCATTTCTAATATTCGATTAAGTTTTTCATCTGTTAGTTATATTTCAGCTTTATTTCAGTTAACAAAAACACATTTAGTAGTTTTAGTTAATCGCAACACTTTTTGATAATCAACTTCTCCTGCTCTTTCCTGTTTATAGGAGCTCCAGGGTCAATTGACCCAGAGGAGTGAGCAGTACCATCGGCTACTAGATAAGGGAGAGTCCATTCTGCTGGCCAGAGGAGGGGAGGATGCTGGACCTGGTACCACCCAGACCCAACAGAACCTGGCTATGCTACAGAACAAGTGGGCCAGTCTCAATGCCAAAATGGATGACAGAAGGGTGAGATTTATGACCTTACATTTATGTTTAAATAACAGATTTGATAATTAATGAACAGATGAATGAAGTGTCTAGTTCTGCCTTCCAATCCTAAGATGCCTCTGTGTCCGTCTCTTTCCACAGGGTAAACTGGAGGAAGCTGTCTCATTGGCGACAGGATTCCAGACCTCCCTGCAGGACATCATAAACTGGCTGACACAGGCAGAGCAGACTCTCAACATGGCTCAGCCACCCAGCCTCATTCTCGACACCGTCCTATTCCAGATAGATGAGCACAAGGTTGGTCAGAAAATGTGGCTTGCTTAAGTACTACATATATTTTTTGCTTTTGTTAAGAGTTTTGATAGAATGTACTACTTTTGAGTAACTTAAGTCCTTGTCTTTATTCCTGTATGTTTCAGGTGTTTGTGAATGAGGTGAACACTCACAGAGAGCAGGTTCTGGCTCTGGAGAAAGCTGGCTCTCAGCTGCGGTTTGCCAGTCTCAAACAGGATGTGGTTCTTATCAAGAACCTGCTGCTCAGTGTACAGGCCCGCTGGGACAAACTGGTGCAGAGATCACTAGACCGAGGACGCCACCTGGATGAGGCCCGCAAGAGAGCCAAACAGGTATATTTTGGTTTACCTCACTCCGTGTTGCTCTGATCATGCCTTTCTCTGTGTCTGAAGTTGGCAGTCTTCTCTTGTCTAGTTTCATGAGGCCTGGAGGAAACTGACAGACTGGTTGGAGGAAGCAGAGAGCAGGCTGGACTCTGAGCTGGAAATCTCTAATGAGCCTGACAAGATTAAACTCCAGCTGGCCAAACATAAGGTACAACCTACATGCATTAAAATGCTATGTGAAGTTCAAAACTTTTAGACTTGTCTCTTATGCCCTCTTATCTGTTAATCACTGTACTGCAGGAGTTCCAGAAGTCTCTTGGCTCCAAGCAGCCAGTGTATGACACGACAGTGCGCTCTGGGAAGGCCATGAGAGACAAGGCCACACTGCCCGCGGATACACAAAAACTGGACAACTTGTTGGGCGAGGTCCGTGACAAATGGGACACAGTTTGTGGAAAGAGCGTGGAGAGGTGAGAAATTCTGGCATCTGACTTTTTGAGCCATTTGAGTAATGATTGAATGTTTAATATAGTGAAGAAAAGAAAATAATTTGAAATCTTTTTCTCCTCAGGCAACACAAGTTGGAGGAAGCCCTCTTGTTCTCAGGTCAGTTTGCTGAGGCTCTCCAGGCACTTGTTGACTGGCTGTATCGTGTGGAACCTCAGCTTGCAGAGGACCAGCCTGTCCATGGAGATCTGGATCTTGTTTCCAACCTAATGGATTCCCATAAGGTACTAATGGGGTGATTCTCAGGAAATGTTGCTTTCAAAGATTTTAAACATGAAATCTGAAGACTTGCATCAACAAATTTCCTTTTTAGTCATTAATAACAAGGTCTATAGTGTCTGTGACTCTGTGAGCATTCATTTATAAAGATTTTACTCATTTTAATCAATTACAAGAACAGTCTGAAAATGTCAAGCTAATACTTTTTCACATTTCTTTGATTATTAACAGTCAGTCACATTTAATACATTTAATTTGTTACCGCAGCTGTCTGAAAATGTCAATTTCATCAGGAAAGCTAATATACATTTTTTATTTATTTATTTATAACAATCAAGCATAGTTTCTTGAAACATTGAAAATACAAATATTTTTTTACTTATTTGAGTGATTTCTCTCATTACTGCAATCCCTTCCGCAATTTACAACCTAATATTCTTTTTATATTTTTTACCAGATTGTATCATTATAGACACAGTAGCTGCGTTTCCATTACCCTTCAAATTGCGCAAATTGAAATTGCGAATTGAAAATATGCCCAATGGAGACAATTTCACAAAAACCCTCATATATCACAAAAAAAAATATTTTTTACGCTCGCACGAGGTGGTTTTTCAGGCAATTTGAAAAAGGAATATTTCGTAAAAATTGCAATGGAAACAGTTTTTTGCATTTACAGGTCACCAGGTCACCTATGTAAAAGTCACATGATCATTCTTTAATATACTATAACCTCCAAGAAACACCTCATTCGTGGCCACTCTCAAGTATAAGGGGCTTTCCTTGCCATTAATGCTTGGAAAACCCCTTATTTACACTGCATACGTCTGCGGCACATTACGGCTCCGACACGGCCACTCTAGTCAATGCTTGTGTTTACACCAGCCACGCCACGGCACGTTTCAGAAGCGGCTCTCCTCGCTCCTTCGCTAAAGATACGCACATACATCTCCTTTGATTAAAAATAATGGCTAGTGCATTGGCTGCAATATACATAAACCTAACAACATCTGTCGCCATGAAAAATTAAATAAAATTATGTTTTAGTCGCATAACATGGGTGAATGGAAACGCCGTCATTTCGCAATAGTTTTTTATGGACATATATAAAATATCGCAAAAGTTTCCACAAATCTGTAATGGAAACGCACCTAGTGAGGCTTGAATGAGACTTTTACTAGGAAGGACATTTCTGAGTAGGACAGAGATTAAAGTGGTTGTGTTTTATTTATTGTTCCTCAGGTCTTCCAGAAAGAGCTGGGAAAAAGGACCAGCAGTGTGCAGGCTCTGAAGCGGTCTGCCCGAGAGCTGATGGAGACAGGCCGGGACGACACCGCCTGGGTCAAAGTTCAACTGCAGGAGCTTAGCAACCGCTGGGAAACAGTCTGTGCCCTGTCCGTTTCCAAACAGACCCGGCTCCAACAGGCTCTCAAACAGGTACGTCTGAATGTTTTTTAGATATTGAATGAAACCAAGAGTAGTGTGAATATTTTCTTCTGACTATCTATTTTCTCTCTTATTCTGCAGGCAGAAGAGTTCCGCACAGCTGTTCAAATGTTGCTAGAGTGGCTTTCGGAGGCAGAGCAAACATTGCGTTTCCGGGGCGTCCTGCCAGAGGAGGTAGAGACTCTGCAGGCACTACTGCACACGCACCGGGATTTCATGCAGACGGTGGAGGAGAAGAGAGTGGATGTGAATAAGGCTGCTGGCATGGGTGAAGCCATCCTAGCTGTGTGCCACCCAGACTGCATCACAACCATCAAACACTGGATCACCATCATTAGAGCTCGCTTTGAGGAGGTATGAAGCCTGTCTAGGCCAAAAGTTAGATAAATGTCTCTGCCTACTTTAATAGGTCTGAAATGTGTATATAATACAAAAGTCATATAATAATGTTTGCTCTACAGGTGCTGACGTGGGCCAAACAGCACGAGCAGCGCTTGGAGATGGCTCTGACTGAATTGCTCACCAATGCTGCACTACTGGAGGAGCTGCTGTCATGGCTACAGTGGGCAGAGACCACACTGGTGCAGCGTGATACTGAACCACTCCCCCAGGACATTACTCAACTGAAGACACTAATCACAGAGCATCAGGTGAGCGGGACAACTCCATTCATCAACGGTCCCTCGGTCTTTTATATTAATTGCGTTGTTTAGTGCAGAGAGGTTTCTTATTGGTTTTGTTGTCTTCCATCAGATGTTTATGGAGGAAATGACCCGAAAACAACCTGATGTTGACAAAGTGACAAAGACATACAAGAGGAAACCAGCAGAACATCCCAGCAGCCTTTCAGAGAGGAGAGGGGCCCGTAAGAGACTTTATCCACATCTGCACACATACTGCATACAAACACAAAACCTTTACATACGCTACTGTTTAAATGTCTGTGGTTGGTGTTTGGTATTTTTTTAATGTTTTTAAAAGAAGTATCTCACGCTGGGCAGCATTATTGTGATTAAAAACACAGTAAAATATTGTGAAGTATTATTACAATTATTGCAAATTTTGAGTGGTAGTGTAGATTTGAGCTTCAGTAACTGCTCACTGCTTAATACTGTGTGCAGTGTATATTGTATACTCCCTATTATGTTTTAAAAATAGGATGATAAAGAGATGAAGCAATTATAAAGGATACAACATAGAAAAATAGAAATTGAAGGTCAAATCAAGCACTGTGCATATGTACAATAAATGTGTATGCTGTGCATAGTATGCATAC